AAAAAATTTGGCACAAGGGAGGGCCAAAAAGAGAATGAGTTTGCAGCCGAGTGCGAAAGAAATTTCAAGTCCTTTCAGCGGCCTACCACTTTCGAGGCATCAGAGAGACGCGATTAGCTCGGCCCACGGCATATATTACTGTACGAAGACAAAAAGTAAATTTACTGGCGTCGGATGAAAATTATCGCGTGCTCCCGCATCCGGTAGACTTTCTCTCTAAAAACAAAAAAATGTCTTACAAGATTAAAAAAAAGCACTTTGCATGGTTAACTCCCTTGTACATGTGAACAGCTTGTTGTACCAAAACAGAAAGACTGAAAAATAGAGTAATAGCTGAATGAAAAAATTAAAATAAAAAATAACACATGATATTAAATGGGAATACAAAAAAGGAATCTGAACTTTGTATCATAATATAGATACTTTTTTTATTATAATATAACATTTTTTGCTATCATATGCATATATATTTTTCTGTTCTGCTACTGATTCATGAAAATCTCTGAAGATTAATTAATTCTTTAGTTTAACTTTTGTAACGTTACTAAATCAAAGTTAAGTTCATATCTTGAGTTTATGAAAAATTCATCAATTTGAAATTAATAACAATTAGAAAAAAAAATTTTTTTCTTAATAATATAATATAAGGTATGAACGGTTGCATCCCCGTTCCAAAAAATGTCAAAATACTTCATTAAAAACCATTAAATAGAAAAAAGAAAACAGACCACGCTATTTTTATAAAATTGACAATTTTCGATGTAAAATAAAAAAAAAGTCCTTTCGAAGGTGCAACTGATATTCCGTTTTTGCAATGCTTATCGCTCACAACCATCTGAGGATTCGCTTGTACCGGTAAAAAACAAAAAAAAAACAAAAAAATAACAAAACAAAAACCAGCCAATCCCTGAGCACAACAGAATTACAAAGTCCCCAGGGTACGATTATCTCGCTGAAAAAGTGATACGTGTGTAGCGAACGAGAAGAGGAAGGCAGAGAGAAAGATAGCGCGTATCCATTGTTTTTTGCGTGCATCCCTGTTGAATGCCCCCCTGTATACATATAGAAATACATCATTCCTGCTGTAGCCGTATACATATGTAGGTGTTGAAGGTGCCCCGATACGGGGGATGGAGAACAAACGAAGAATGAATAAGGAAAAGCAAAGTAATAAGGGACGAACAAGTGCGCGCGATAGAGGGACAAAGAGCTTAAAAAGCACCGAAGAAACGTAACTTCTCGTGTATATAAGTATAGTCACTTGTACGTGTATACCCATACTCAGTGTAGAATATACCATGCAGTCGAAGCTGTGCGCTTGCACTCAGAAGTGCCCCCAGGATACCGTATACCCTGCCTTTCATCTCGCATCTCGACACATTATATGGTACATATATTATGAGCAGTCCACACAAGCCTTCGATCGCGTAATGAGGCAATATACTGGCCAAGTGGTTAGCACATGACTGCAAAGGGTCCTATGTATGTATAAAAGTGTAAATGCATACACATACACTGAGTGCACGAAGTACATACTGTATACGGCGTGTCAACGTCCCGAGAATCGCACAAAAGGACGATAGGTATAAAAGATCAAAAGATGTGTTGTGTGTGTGTGTGTGAGAGAGAGAGAGAGAAAGGTAGAAAAAGAGAGAACAGAGCAGTCAGCAGCTATACTTGCGAATATAATGCAGTCAATCTACAAGCTTTGGACGGATTTTTAACCCCCTGAGTTTATACACCTACGCATAAGCGAACAGGTCCTTAAGATTTCTGGAGAGAGTCGAGAGTTAGCGGGGGACCATTTGTTGCTCTCCTATATTTTTCACTTTAACTTTCTTTTCATCTCTTCTCTTCTTTTTATATGCACTGTGTCTTTAAAACTTGCAGCTGGTAAATGACTTACCCTCCCAACCAAATTTTTCGAGATAAGGTAGTGGAGGACGCGGGGCAGTGTATATAGCGGGTATAAGGCTAAGTATTATAGTCAATTATATAATGCAGGAAGACATAAAGATTTCGGTTTTAGAGTTCTGTTCTATTATTATTTTTTTTTTTTTACATGAATAAATGATCCAACTACTGCGAATTAAAATTATCTTCTGTACTCAATTATTTATACCTCTATGTTTTTCGATGTAAATCAAAGTAATTTCATTTTATCGTCATCTACAGCATCTTGGGAGATTAAAACGAATGGCGGTTTTCTGTTATGTGACTTTTTTTTTTTTTTTTTTTTTCAAATAAATGTTTTAGTGTAAATATCACTTGCTTGTATTACTGCGTACGGTTATAAAATCAGCACCAGTTGCTAAACCGCCCATTTACTGATTACTGGCGTGGGTATCGCATTAGTATATTCTGTAGTTTTATATCTTGCGTGATCTGACACAAATTGTTTTTAGAACCATCGAGCCTGTAAAACTAACGAGAATCACACTAATCCTAACCACAGACTTCAACAAGGACTTTTGCCAGGCAGGGAGCCACTAGCCTTAACGTCTTCTCCAGGGAAAGGCGACACAGTGGCGAGTGGACCCGATGCACCATTGGTGCAGAGAGTGTCAGCTTAATTGGCAAGGTGTTTTACCGGAGATATTACCACTGTGACTATGGTATGATAGATATGGTACCAGTTAGGGGATTGGTAAATGGTTGTGGTAATAATACTCCCCCACACACATAGGTGGTTAGTGGGTGGCCCCGGTGACTAGGCCAGTAGGCTGTCGCGGTAACCCGGTTAAAAAAAACTAGCGCTCTGAAAAACTAATGCAGTATCCTTTGTTTCTTCGACAAAACGGTAAAAAAAAGTCACGAGCATTAGAAAGTATTGTGAGAGTAATGATTAATTCTACAGTTCAAAGCCATTTTACCAAACCCGTACAATGGGGCATGGGGTCATAAAATTTAACTTACTTCTTTCTTTTCCTCATCTTCCACATGTCACCGACAAAAAAACCTGCTTGATGAAAAAAAAGAGGCAATCCGCGCACACGTGTGCGTGAAGTCACCCGAAAATAAGGCCCGCCTACGAATCGTGCGTACAAGAAATCACGCGCCCCACACTCGAACTCCTTGAAAGAAAGTAAAAAAAAAAAAATAAATAGATAAAAAAGATTTGGACACTATCGGTAATACTAACCTGCTGCTGCATCTTTCTTCCCTTCCCTATGTGTTCCATGTATGCTTATATATATA